GAAATATGGCAGCAGCAGGAAACCTTAAGTTTTGCAAATACATACATTTATAGAGTTGAAGGTCAGAAGGGACCATTAGAATGTCTAGTCTGACCTCCTGTATATCACAGGCCATTACATCTCACCCAGTTACATCTGAACTAAGCCCAATAACTTGTATTTGACTAAAACATATCTACCAGAAAGTACTGATTTGAAACTATCAAGAGGTGGAGAATTTACCACATCTCTTGGTAATTTGTTCCAGGGCTAATCACCCTCATTGCTCCAAATGTGTGCCTAATTTCTAATTTGAATTTGTTTGGCTTCAGCTTCCAGTCATTGGTTCTTGTTATGGTTTTCTCCCCAAGATTAAAGAGCACTTTAGTATTTTTTCCCTGTGAAGATACTTATACACTGTAATGAAATCACATCTTAATCTTCTTTTTGATAAAGTAAACAGATTGAGCTCTTTAAGTCTCTTGCTATAAGGCACTTTCTCCAGTCTTGGAATCATTTTGGTGGCTCTTTTCTGCACACGCTCCAATTTTTCTGTATCCTTTTAAAAATGTGAATTGTATGCAGTATTCCATTATTGGTCTCATCAATGCCATATACAGAAATAAAATCACAACCCTACTCCTAATTATTACTCCTCTGTTAATTCAAGGATTGCGTTAGTCCTTTTTGCCACAGCATCCTGCTGGGAGCTCATGTTCAGTTGCTTGTCCACTGTGGCCCCTAAATCATTTTCAGATGCACTCCTCCATTCTGTAGGTATGGCCTGCATTCTTTGCTCCTAGATGTGTAACTTTGCATTTCTGTATTAAAACATGTTTTAATGGTCCCAGGTTACCAACCAATCTTGATCATTCTATGTGACTGCAATGTCCTCATAAATATTTACCCCTCAACCAATCTTTTTGTCATCTGTAAATTTGATCAGCGGTGATTTTATATTTACATCCAGATCACTGATAAAAACGTTGCATAAAGTCAGGTCTAGTATCAATCTCTGTGGAAGCCCACTAGAAACCTCCCCTTTGATGACGATTCCCCATTGACAACTACTATTTGACATCTGCCAGTTCTTAATCCATTTATCATGGATTCCATTGATATCGCATAGTGCTATTTTTTAAAAATCAGAATGTCAAGTGCTATTAAGTCAAATGCTTTACAAAAATCTAAGTATATTACATCTATACATGTTTGGTTGATAAAGGTAACAATAACCTCAGCAAAGAACAATTAGGTTTGTTAGACAATACCTATTATCTGTAAAACCATGTTGACTGGTGTTAATTATATTCAATATTATCGTCATCATCAAGGCATATGTCAGAGGGACATAGCTTCTTTGCTGATCGAATGTCACTCAGATTGAGATTGATCTCTAGTTACATCCTTAATACAGACTGGCTGGATGTTCAATCTATGTCCAAAAGTGGTGAATTTATTGTGCCACTAAAGCTTTTGGCAATCATATTATCACTGATCATGTAGTGGCACTTCTTGGTAACCAGGCTTTGTAATTGTTTATATTCCTATCCTTTAATTCTTTATCAATTGAATCCCATATCAGGTTTTCTGTTTTTCGCCTGAGACTGTCATCAATATAACTGGTCTATTGTTACCTGGATCTTCCTGCTTTCCCTTTTTGAATATTGGCACATTATCACCTCTATTCTAGTCTTCTAGAATTTCCTTGCTATTCCAAGATTTATTAAAATTAACACCAGTGGGTCAGAGAGCTCCTCAGCCACCTCTTTTAGGATTCTTGGGTATAGGTTATCTGGGCCTGGTGATTTAAAAATGTTTATCCCTTGTAACATCGTAACATCCTCCTCAGTTACTAGTGGACTGGAAAGTATTTCACAAGCCTCATATAATGTGACACCATCATCCTGCTTCTTTCCAAATACAGAACAGAAGTATTTATTAAACATTTCTGCATTTTCTGCATCATTGACAATTTTACCATCTCTATCTAGTAATAGACATATACCATTGCTAGGATTTCTTTTGTCTCTAATATACTTTAAAAACACCCATTATCCTTAGCCTGTATTTTTCCCTGCAGTCTTTCGCTTCCCTTTTCAATTTTCTGTACTTCGTAACTTCCAGGATATATCTATTTCTATCTGTTCCCCCTTTCTCCGCTTGTTATATGTTGCTTCCCCCACCCCTGATTGCTGCCTTAATTTTGCCACTTGAATCAAGATGGACTTTAGCCAAAGTTGTCATCTTTCTTGATTGTGAATTATGGCTTTTTGGCCATCTAATAAACTCTTAACCCCCAGTTTTCATTCATATTTTTCTGCCTATTTTTTCCCTCACAATCAGTTTAATTCATAATTTTCCTCAGTTTTGGGAAATTAGGCTCAGACTCTCAAAGGAGGTAAGCACCTAAATACCTTTGAGGATATTGGCCATAGCCTTTTTGAAACACTAAGTCTGTCTGTGTGTGTGTGTGTGGTGTGTGTATATGTTTTTATATATACATATATATAAAAAATCTGGTAGGGACTGTTTTTATTTTCTCTTATTAAATGTAACCAGGTCATGATCACTGGTCCCAACCATCAACTTCCAGTCCAATGATTAATTCATCTTTATCTATCACAATGATGTCCAAAATAGTTACCCCTGTGTTGTGTGCAATACTTTTTGTTAGAAAATTATCTATAATTTTTGGAAACTCTGATTAACTACCATTTGAATGAGATGTGTGGCATATGTCTCTCAAATTGAAGTCTACCCATGACAGGAACAGTTTTTCATTAAGGATTTGTGGGACATGGAAATTATTTATAGGGTGGCTACTGTACCTTTTGTGGGCACTGCAAGATTCCTTGTGGCCACAATACATCTGGCTACTGCTAGGAAACTGTTGGTGGGGTTGTTGAAACTTCCATCCAGGTTGCAGTCAGCATAGGGAGCAGGTGCGAAGCTGGGATTCCAGCTACTAATTCAGATATCAGAGACAGCGCATGGGTCCCAATGCACATGTTCTCTGCAGAGTTTCTTTCTACTGCCTCTGCTCTTCCAGCATCAGCAGTAACGGGAAAGAGGAGTCTCTGAGCTGGGGAGATGTTTTGAAGTAGGCGATAAGGTGGAAGTGAGACAAGGTTTCTGATCCTTACAGTGTCATAGAGTGGTTGCCAAGGGTGGCAAAATATAAACAAATTTACTAAATAACCTCACTTACCTCCATTTCTCCTCAAAAATGCATTTCTTCCTTTGCCTTCCTACACATTTTAGTGTTGTTACTCCCATATCTGTAGTGGGGGAGGGGAAGCACAGGTGATACTGCTAACCCAGACCCCAGGGAATGGTGGCAAGTCACAGTTAGTGCTTCTCTTTGGGCATACATTGAAAACAACTGGGGCTGCAGGTGTTCCACACTTCTAAAAATCACCCGCAAATTGTTTTGGATCAGGTACCTAAAAACTGAAGAATCTGAAATCAGTGCTTACTTTTGAAAATGTGGCTGTTGGCCTTTTCCCAGAACAGGATGATATGAAAGACATGCTGGCAGGATAAGGACCTTAAAAGAGGTCTATTATTTCTGCCTATTCTCACCACAAGATTCCAGTCAATATATTCTACTGGGTTATGGAACAGGAATAAGCGAGAACGTATAAGTGTGATTAAGGCAGCAGTGTGCATGAGGAGGAGTGTATATGTGACAGGTAGGGAGAAAGTAGGGATGTATTGAGGGCATACGTTGAAAGGGAAGGGGTGGGGAAGAGACTGAGGATGTGGACAGGTTGAAAATAAGTAAGAGAAGGATGAGGGGGAGACGATGAGAGAACAAAACCCAGAATTAGAAAAAGAGGAAGAAGTGGGATGGTAAGAAAGTGAGGAAAAGAGGAAACAATTATTATACACTACAGGAGAATAAGTTTAAGAATACGAGGGAAACCAAAAATCATGTGTGTGGGGGGAAGGGATGACAAAGGAAAGAAAAAGCAGAGTTAACACAACACAGGCCTGGTGGGTACTTAATATAAAACTGCTTTAATGCCAGAATGTTAGACTGAGTAGCAATAAAAAGTAAAATATAGGATGGGATAAAATAGGGGGGGGGAGCGCACACAGTGTAGTTTATCTAAGGCAGCAAAATGCCTACAGCAAGCGCGGCAGGCCCCAAGAATGTGTGTGAGCAGGATCTAGTTGAAACAAGAGAGGTTTTGAGCCAGGGTGGAGGACCATTTGGGAAGAGAAGGGTTCAGAGCTGTGCGCAGGCCACTGGATAGGAAGGATTTTATTGGGGTGGGGAAGAGGATGGATCCTAGAAGGAGGGGAATGGTTTTGAGCTGATGGAGGGGAAGGAACTCTGAGCCGGGTAGGCTCAGGTAGCAGTGGATAGGTGTGAACCTAGGATGTGAGGTTCAGCTGTAAAGAGGTTTCTGTGGGGATAGGGGGATGGGTTGAAGGGAGCCAAAGGAACTTGTATGGGTTCTGAGCTGGGTTGAGCTGGCAGAGTTGAGTTGGAGGGTGAATTGGTAGGTGGGAGGGAGAGACAGAGGAACAATAGAGGATATTGCTGGGTAAGAACAATAAGACCCTACAGGGTCTTGGAAATAAATATTAGCTCCTAAAGGGTCCCAGAGGGCAACTGTTTTTTCTCTCCCCTGCCCTTTTATTTTAAGAGTAGTGGGAGTGGGGGCTTCTTTTCCCTTCACCTTCCCTTTGACTCTCCCTCTCTTTCAGTTAACTTTGAACAACGATCTCTCCTGTGGGCCCGGGGAGGGGAGGCGGGAGCGCAGCGGGGGCTTCCTACCCTGCAGCCCCATCATGTATTTTGGACACCGCCAGTATAATTGAAAACCGAACGTGTCGCGCTCCTGGCCGCCCGGCAGCGGGGTGCTGCCCTGCGCGGGGGCCCTGCGGGCGTGGAAGAGAAGAGGAGGAGGGCGAGCCCAGCGCTGCCGTTTTATGCTCGGGGTGGCCGCTTCCCTTGCTGGTGGCTGGGCCGTGCCTGCGGTGGGGACTGGAGGGCGGGATCCCAGAGCTCAACAACAAGGCGCGGCCAGAGCCTCTCCTCTCACACGTGCACACAAAGGGACCCAGAGCAGCCGCCGCCGCTTCTTCCCATCGGACTAATAACTCCCCTCCTCCCCTCCCCCTCCTCCCTGTCATCCTCCTCCTCCTCCTCCAAAACAAAAACGCGCGCACACACACAAACCGTGCAGGGGAGTCAGCAGCACCTCGCTTAGGCGTAGGGCTGGTTCCTGCAACTTCTAGCCCCTGCTCTGATGTGAGTCAGAGTGAGGTTCACTTTCTGGGTGTGTGTGGGTGGGGGTGGGAGTGTGTCGTTTGCTTGTTAGCGAGGGGTGCAGTGGTTGCAGCTCAGGACTGATTTGATTTCTTCCCTCCCCCCTCAAGGCACTCCGTTTGAATTGGGCTGGAAAGTTGCGAAGCGGGGTGGGCGGCATACGAAAGTTAAACACAAAGCGAGGAGCGCTCCTTTGTTCTGCTAGGGGGGACCTTTGGAGAGGGTGGCTGAGCCAGACACATGCAGGTCAGAAGCGATCGACAGCAATTAGCCTTTCCCGTCAAATGCCTCCCTCCACCCAAAGGAGCCAGGCGCTTGGAGGAGGAGGAGGAAAGCGGAAGGTGTATCACACCAAGGTGAGTTGCGATTTACTCTGCTTTCCTTTTGTCTTGTTGCGAAACTAACACGCCGTCCATCCCACTGCACCCGGTTTCCTTTCCAAGACAGTGAAACTTAAACAAAAAGTTAGTGTACAAGGTTGCTGCCCATGGCGACTATCTGCTCCATCGCAGATGAAAAGGAGAGAGAGAGCGAGAGCGGGTCCTAGAGCCAGAAATGGCCTTTCTTTTCCTTGGGGTGGAAGGGGCTGTCTAATTTTCCTGGCTAAATCGTCGGCATCAAGGAGCAAGTGAAAGGGGTTCAAGCTCTGAGTGTGGTGTGATTTATTTGTGCAGATAATGAATGGGATGGGCCGGCGGGCAGGGCTTCTGGAAATCCCCCGTCTTCCTGGCTGCAGATTAGATTTGGGGCTCTTGTCTGTTGTTACCTTTTCTTCCCTTCTGGTTTTATTTGGAGAGGGGCTGAGTAGATGGTCTGGTGGCTGGGGGACAGGTGAAGGAGCAGTGTGGTTTTTGAACTTTTTTTTTTTTGTATGGTTTGCCAGGGGATGCTGCTGGCCCCATCTCTGTGGTTTGCGCAACAGGTAGAGATGCCAAAGACTGGAAATATCTTTTGTTGTTGGTCTCGTGGCCGGGGATTAAGCTTTTGTTCTGAAGGCTGGATGTCTCCACAAGTGAAAGGACAAAGTCTTGCCAAATCCACTCGCGCGAGTGTGTGTGCGCCTGTAAATGAACCCTTTCCCCCCCTCTTGTTTTTATATTTTCCTTGAATCTACATTTGTCCTACAGACTGTAGAAGATCAAACTGACCGAAACCAGATACCAAGGGGATTGTTCTCCGTGATTGTCAAGGGAATCCAAACAAAGAGGTGCATCTACCGGAAATAATGATTTGAGAGATGTCTCTCTCTCTCTCTCTCTCTCTCCTCCTCCCCTTCGTATT